CATTTCCCATTACGAGATGGGAATTATATTTAACAGTATTCAATATTTCTCTCTCTACCAACTATCCCAAACGTGTTTCACGATCCTATGACACTCATATTGTTGGGTAAACTATTCTTCTTTATTGGAATGATTAATTCAAAGCGAGCAGGGTTAACGCGTGCACGCGTCGAATCGGAAAGTCAATCCATCGGCTCGTGGGATATCGTGAAACGAACCATGTTATTAATTAATGTAAATCGGCCCGTTACATCATACACTGGCAGTCGAATCGTTGTGGCCACATCAAATGTCCAGTATGTCTATTGTTCGCAGCCGCTATTATCTGCATGACATATATTCGAACGTTGCGTTGTAAAGGCGATTATAATTCGGCTAAAACCTCGCTCTTGCACGTTTAACGTTTCGTATGAAAAGCAATGTCTGCAGCGGAATTAATCCAATACCGAATGGCTAACCGTTAGAGAATCGCCAGTAAGTTGATATCATTTTTACCAATCATAGAAATGCTTTTAATACGGTTCGTTACGATAATTAATAAACGGTTATTTCAGTACTTAAATTTTCTTAAATAAAAATTTTTTTTCGTATTCCACGCGAATGTTAAAAGGTACGAGGTTTTTTAGGCAACCGAGAACGGTCGGTGGTCCACGATACATGTGTAGCTTCGTTATAACTTTCAAAATATGCATTGGACGGAAAAATGTTATACACAAAAGGTTGTTTATATGCAAAAATGTTATGTACAAAAATTCCACCTTATCACAAATCTGTAATTAAAAATAATTGGAAGACAGTAATCGTTACTTTTAACAATTACTGTTCATGAAACTGCAATTACTTGAAAGTAATTGAGAAAAGTAATTATAATTACTTTTTATTTACTTTTAAGTATTTCTAACTACTTTAGATTTGGGACACCTTTCAATTACTTCCTGGGTAGTTATAAGTAATTATTAAAAAGTAATTGAATTACTCAGAAATTGCAAATAAGGTATTGCATAATTACTAAAAACAAAGTACATAATCAAAAATTAATTATATAACTATTTTCTACTTCAAAAGTAATTATTCCAAATTGTAATGGATACAAAAGTGATCGTTATTTTACAGCTCTGACTACACCCTACACAGGGTGTCGTTCCAAAAGCGACTGCAGCATCCGTGACTTCCCCTTGTCAGGGGAATAGCATGGGAGATGTTGGAAACACTTAAGTAAACGTAAAAAATAATATCACACTTACTTCAAGCTGCTATTTACTTAGCATCTCGGTATCGAACGTAGTCAGAATCAGAATTGGTTCTCTCGACGAGAAGTCTCGTTCCCTGGGAACTCCTTGGAGACATTTGTTCGATTACGTCGAGTACGTGCAGCGAGCTATAACCGTGCGTTTCTCGTACTGTAATTGGAAGCTCTGGGTCTCGCGCCCCGTTTCCATTGGACGTGTACAGCAAATTACATTGTACATACACGTGGATATTGCGTCGGTCGTGGTTCTCGGGCAACGAAACCGTTTCGAGAGATCAAAGGATGCCGCTTTGGACTTCCCTCCGTTGAGCGTCGAAGGAAAAAAAACATTTGACCGACAAATGCGCAATTCTTTCGCCAGTGGAGAGGGGTGCGATGCGGAGGGAAGAGGCAATTGATTAATAAACGCTTCGGTTAAACAAAAGCTCCCGCTGAGCGGTTCATCGCAGGTCGTTAGCCAGAATCCGTAGGTCGCGTGCGAGTAACTACGACTCGACGCCATTGTCGCCAGGGGTAGGAGCTCACGGCTCGATAGTTTCACGAAGATAAAATCGCGGCGATCGTTCCTTTGTTGGCCTCATCTCGGTCTGGAATACCATTCCAGAAGAAAGTTCGACGTTAGAAGGAGGATAAGGGGGTTCGAAGAACCACCTGCACACAAATTCTCTCTATTCCACGTGGAACAACCTGCTGAATCTCAGCCGGATCCTTATCCGACCCATAGATCTCTTTGCTAAGTCCGGAAGGCGTTCGAGCCGTTCCCGAGATCGAATCTTCTTATGGTAGACGAGGTATCGAGTATCGATCGTCGAATAAAACTACCGGCTGAGACCGTTTACTGTCTGTATCGTCAAATTTCCTTATGTCAACCGTTCGAAGACGATCCAACCGGGCTCTTCTCGCACTCGCTTGCGGTTCCCTGCGGAAACGGACATGCCCCCTCGAGCCTGAGGTGCGATTGCTCATCAATTTCAGTGTCACACGAAATACAATGAAAACTACGCCAGGCCACACGCGCAACTAAGCAAAGCTTGTAAGAAGCTTCCTCGGTGATTTACAGGGTTCTCAAAATAACGGGTTTCCAAAAATTAAAATTGTAATGGAATATAGGATCGTATAAACGCTCAATTAATACTTTTAATCTTTATTTTATTTATTTATGCAAGCTTGGAAGAACGATCTTTATTTAACTATAAACGAAAAATATAGACAATACTGATGAAAATTAACAAGGTGAAAATGACAGAAACGAGCCTACGATACGTTTATTCTGCAAATATTATAACATGAACTTTACTTTCAATCTTTTTTATATTCTTGCATATTGTTTGCATCTTGTAGTTTCTTGCACATTCAAATTTCCTATAAATGCATAAAGATCCGCAGTCTACCGATAATTTAGTTAATTTAATGCTTAGAAAAGTTATAATAACGATAAACTCAAAAGGAAATCCCACGAAGGAAGTATTATATACTTGTAAATTAATGTAAATTTCTTTTTTTTTTTTTTTGACTGAAGTTTTAAAAATTAAACAGTTGTGCGAATACTTATTGCTTCAATATTTCATCGATCAATTGTTTTTTTCTTGTTAATTCCGCAACTTACATAAATAGCTATTTCTTTTTGTAATCTATCTATTCTAGAGATTTCCGAGAATATGTAGAATGTCATTGTTTATAAAAAATAAATTAATAAATTACAATTTTACACAGTTTTTTTGGAAATTGATCGCTGTACGAATACTTTCTACTCCCACTGTAGATAGTAGACATGTTTTCGTCGAAAGACGTATAATCAGTACAAAATCATATGCTATAATAAATAGTTTACAATATTCGAGTAAAAAAGCTACCTCGAATTTTTACTCGGTTAACCTCTGTCCGAAACGGCAAGCTAAGGAGGTATTATCGCTAGATTTGAATTCGATTACCAAGAAGGAATAATACACATTCCTGACCTTTGTAATTTTGGAGACAACGTTATTTAAAAATAGCATGTTTAAAAAGTGGCTAGGCTCG